CTGAAACAAGATGCCACTACAAAGCTGTATATTAAACTGTAACTGAGAAACACTCTGGGATAGAAATCAGATCCAATAGCCATGGATAGTTTCTCAGAGAGGGTCCTGAAGTCACAACCTAAGCTTCACACTATTAATTCATACTCAGCTATGTTGGAAAAGCTCCTGATGAGAAGGAAATGGAAATAGAAGTCTTCATAATAGGCGGTTTTATGCCAAAAGATTGAAGTAAATGACCTCAAGAATACATGTGCTAACTTGAGGCAACTTTTGATGATATTTAATGCATTACCAGCTGCAAGGAATTCAATTTTCTCCTAATCCTGAATAGAATCTCTGTCAGCGTTTAAGAATTCTGAGGAAAGAATGAGTTCTACATGAATTGTGTTTAGCAGATGATGATTAAATACAGTACATGCTGCTTTCTAATAGGAATGCTAGTTTAATCTTCCCTCTCTGCAGTTCTGGAAGTCAAAGAACAGTTTCTAGGCTGTTAATTTATATTAAGTGACATAAGAACCTAAGAACTGAGAGTGGTGAGGCACTGGTTGAGGCTGCCCAGAGATTTGCATCATAAGCAATTGTTCCCTAGAAAGAACAGCAATCTGGCACACTGAACTTTGTAATCGAGACTGACAGCGCTTGCCATGCCTAAAACCACTATAACTGCCCAGAAATTTCTAACACTACTGAACTTAAAAGCACTTGCTAGAAGCACAGAGCATGCTCAGGCAAGAAACTTTTCCTATTTAAATGTAAACACAGATGTTTGGAAAGTTTAGGAATACTCAAATGGACATGGTGACAATCTCAACACATTTGGAGCCATCATGCTACCCAAGCAAACTAGCACATTTTTATTATGCTCAAAAAATCACTTTCTCTTGTTTCATCTATCAAATCTTTTCAACTGACTGTAACCACAGGGGCTGTATTTTCAGGAGGAAAATACATTCTTGCAACATGTTTCAAGCTTGTAGTGGACTTCACTATTAGAAAACTCTATGGCCCAAAAGGCATAAAGGCAATCAACAAGTCAATCAATTAACACAACACTACATCACAAAAAGAACAGAGAACAACTCCTCACCTGGGAGTCTACTACCCTGCCACACCTGTCTGCTCCAGTTTAAAGAAAAAAAAAGTTCAAACTTCTAATTTCTCTAGAACTCAAGTCTGAGTGCCATAGGATGGAATAAGGGAGAAAGAAGTCAGGAAAGGCCTGACCAGCCCAAATTTTTTATAGGTAAACTGCCTCAGCTGCTCAAGAGGCTGCCCAAGCCATACTCACATTGAACTCGTACATACTCAAGACCCCCTACAACTGGCACAGAGATTTGCCTTTGTTCAGATTCCCCTTTCCTGTCTCTCAACTTTTTCAAGACACTTCAAAGAAGATCAAAAAGCTTGAAAGAAGTGCAGTTGTTTAGTCTACAGAAGAGAAGATAAATGGGAGACCTGGTCTTGTTCTTCAAAGACAAAGCAAGTTGGTACGAGAATGGGACTAAACTGTTCACCAGGTCTGATGCAGACATGAAAAAGAAAGCAAGATTTAAGTTTTGGAAAACTTTCAAGTAAGAGTAATAGACTGAACAGGCTGCCTTTGGAGGCTGTGGAATATCCATCACTGGAAGGTTTTAAAAACAGGCTAGGCAAACATCTGTCAGAAGTGATTAAGTTACAGTAGATGAGAAGATCTTTTGCTCCTCTTCTGCTAAGGTCCTTTTGTTACACCCATTATTACAAACCCAACCACATTTCTGTCTTTTGCATGCCTGTGTTTTATTTAACTTAAAAAACCATGCAATAAAAACCTGCCCTTCTGGGATATTTCCACATATTCAAGTGTGTTTATTTGGGGCAACATAATAGACATGAAAGATTTGTTAAGTGTGAAAGCAGGATAAAGAAACCACCTGTGAAGTAAAATATCAATGTATTAAATTTACACTCACTCTGAATAAATTGACCTCTAACATTATAATGCAGACAGCACTGCATTTTTTGTCCTCCAAGAGAAAAAACTGTTCAACTGATGACTTACTGATCTGCAGTCACTTGAAGATTTCCCTTAAAGGATTTTTTTTTAAAAAAAAGCACTTTTCCCCAAGCACAGAGAAATACAAAATTCAATATTACAAAACATTAATACAAAAAAAGACATCAGAAGGTGGCTTTGAGAAGTATCCAAACCTTTTCAAAACCATATTAAATTATAAGGACGGCTTCCATTGCACTGGAGGAAAACAAGCCATTGGAGACCTTTTTCCTCCCCCTGCTGTTTAATACTAATGTAACCATGGAAATGAAAACTAAACACTGACTTCCCCTCACCCCCAGCATGACAGGATATGTAACAGCAGAAATGTTTCTTGGTGAAGGTGAGAACAGGTAACTGCTCAGGAGAACACCCGGGTTTCTGGGGGTCTCTGCTGCACTGACACCATACAGCTCACACCACTGCCAGAGGGAAGAGATGCTGCTTGCTGTGCTCACATCTGATGTTCCTACCAGCTGCCCTCTGTGCTGACTCCTCACTTTTGTCTGTGCTGGCTAGCATTTGACCTTCATTAGGTTTTAGGTAACACTCCCTTAGAAGAGACAAACATGAATGAATAGCTGTGACATAAAGCAATCAGATCATAATCAGGCAAGTTCAAAAATATTATGGTCAATGCCAGAATTGTCTTTCTGCACACCTGACCAATCCTTCTAAGGACAACTGTTTTACATCATTTTTACTATATAGGTATTTCCCAAGTAAGTTCATCGGAACTTGTAAGGCACGTGGGATTTGTAGGCACACAAGAACTCCACCTTCTTTTCATTCTTGGTCTAGACAGGTCTGGAATAACATTTACCTCCTATTTTGCATCTCAGTATGTGTTTTTTCTTGTCAATTCAAGATCCACCCTTCAGTCTGATATCAAGCTTTGTCAGAGTAACACAACATCAATAAAATTATTTATTCTACTTAAAGGGGAAAGGGCAGGGAAGCTGACAAACTGAGAGGATTAAGAAAAATCCATAGACTGTTTAGCCCTCCTTCAATAAAGAGACCCTAGGTTAACTTGCCCCTAGTAAATTCATACTAAATTAGAGTTACAACAATATGAAGGCTATAGCATCATACTTTTCTGCATTAAACTTATTTTTCAGATTGTTTTCCCACTCAAATATGGGAAATATACTTCATTATCAGAAGTATCAAGTCTTCACAGCTCTAGGCAATTTGAGTCCTATTATCAATCTGATGGACTATTTTAAGATTTGCACAATTTTTTGAGCTAATATCCTTCTCATTGGATACTGTTTTCTTCACACAAACCACTGTTTTCAGTCTAGAGAATGAAGTGTTGTTTCCTTCCCTCTTTACATTCAAAAGTGTAAAATAAACAAAGCTACCTAGAGCAATGTATGGAAAATAGCAGGAAGGAGACATTCTAGAGCACAAACTTGCTGAAACTAGTTTCAAGAATAATTTCTGCCTCCAACATCTTGGACCTGAGAGTGCTGCTAAAATATCAAAGAAATTCACAAATACATTGCATGATCTTCTCATAAATCAAAATTATTGCAACAGGAATATATTTTAAAGGAGTGACAGAGTGGAGAGAACACATTATGATGAAGCTGTATGGATAAGCAATGATCCTTGAGGCTACCTAAAAATATACAACACTGCCCCCCTGCAAAAATAAAGTCAAAAAAAAAACCAACAAGACTAAAACCCCCACTTTACCAACCATTTGACAAAGTTCCTTCTGTTAGCCATTTCCAAGGCCTTATACCTTTTAGCAACTTCCAGTATTAAAAACTCAGGTTTCAGACTTTGGTTTTGCCTAATTTTATTGAATTTGGGCCTTTCCAACAGTGTGTGATAAAATTTAAACATAACTGGAGGATAATATAACAAGTGAATGGTAAGGACATATGAAACTAGGAGGCTGAATTTAATCCCTACTGCCTCACCTTAGTGCAGATTTCATGTAAGCAATCTACTTAGATTACTGAGTTATTCAGTTATTAATCTGAGTTATTCAGAACTGAGATTAGTTCTGAATCCCAGAACTATTTGTGAAAAGCAATGACTTCACTTAAAAGAAAACAAAAATCTCTGAGTTAAAGAAACAGAAAGAGCAAGAAATTCAAGTATTACTCAGTTTGCAGTAGCATTGTCTTTATTTTGCCAGCTGCCAATCCCAGCTCAAAACCACTTATTGATGAGGTACAGCACTGTCTGATACATACAGCACTGATAAATACTGATTTAATACTGATAGATACCCAATATATACAGGGCTTCAGGAGCGGTGCCATATGCTGGGGGCTGTGCACTGGCAATATAACCATAAGCTCATGGCTGTCGGACCAATGCACTCATCCCTGCACAGAACACGTGCTGTATGTCAAACCTTGTACCTCTGCTGGAAATGGACCAAATACTGCGATACACTCTGCTCCTCACTCAAGGCTATGCCAGAGCATAACGGCACTTACATAATTAACCAAAAGTGAGGCAACATCTACAACTCCTTTAGCAATAAGCAAACGTCAGTGGATATTCCTGTGCGTGCACTTTCTAGGCTAACACAGCATCTCCTCGCACAGCCCACCAGCCTAGGCCGCTTCCAAGCGCTCATCCCAGTGACAGCACCGAGTAAAGGACCAGAACCGTTTGGAGACGAACGGCTTTGAGACGAACGGCTTTGAGACGAACGGCTTTGAGACGAACGGCTTTGAGACGAGCCGCTTCACCCACGGCTGCGTCCCCCACGCAAAGATGTGAATTTGCCACGCCGCCCGACAGCCCGAGCGCTCGGGATAAATCCCCTGACATGAACTGAACCACGACCGTGCCGCCGCTTCCTGCGGCTCCCGCTCCGATCCCGATACTCCCCCACGAGGGCGGCCTCCCTACGACCCCGGGGTGCGTGTCCCACGGGGCGCCCCATCGCGCTGCGCCGGCGGCTCGCAGCAAACTGGCAGCAGCAAATTACCGGGGCCCCGCTGGCTCCCTCCCACCCCAGAGAGCTCGGCCCGGCCGGGCCCGGCCCGCGGGGCAGCCCCAGGGCATCCACAGCGCCGTTTCCTCCGCGGCCAGCGGAGCGGGCACCGAGGGCGCGGTGCGGGCCGAGCCCGCCCGGCCGAGCCGCGGCGCCGCCGGGACACTCACATGAACCGAGGAGCCGCCGCCGCCGCCCGCACGGCCAAGAAGGACCCGCTCGCAGGGCTGCCCCAACGAGCGCCTGACGTTTGCTAGCAGGCGCCCGAGAGCGCCTCGCTCCCCCAGCACGCGCAGGGCTTCGGCGCCCAACGCGTCGTTCCAGAACACTGGCAGAACACGCACACACACGGGGGGAACGGTGTTAAACTTTTTCTCTTTTATTTCGTTTTGTTTTGTTTATGTTGGGTTTTTTGTTGAGGAAAAAAATGAAGCTCAGGCACTGTGCGGATCGCCCCTACGGCCCTAGAGCGAGCGGGTGGCGGGGAGCAGTGACATCACTGGGGGCGGGCCGGGGGCGGCGGCGCTGGCGCAGGTACCACCGGAGCCTCTGCCTTCCCTCTGTACCACTCTCTCGCCTTTCTCCCTCCCGTCCTTCGCCGGTCCCTGTACCTGTCCCGTCCCTCCATCCTCATCCTCATCCCCTTCCCCTGTCCCTCTCCTCGTTCCAGTCCCTGTTCCCATCCCTCTCCCTTTCCCCATCCCCTTCCTCCTTCCCCTTTCCCATCTCCTCCCGTTCCCCAGCGGTCACTGCCCAGGTGTAGCAGCGCAGGGGGATCAGGGTCCCCAGCATTTCTCTGAGTCCTTTAGAGAACCGGCTAAAAGCCATTCCTCTGTGCCAGGTTTAGTTCCTCAATCCGTGTGTGTCGGATAAATCAAACGGTGACAAACCCGATTTTAGGTCTTCATTATGATGCTGATATAGCAGAATTCGACTTTTCTTCTATACCTATTCTGCATTTTAATAAACTTTGTGAAATCACTCAGTTTCAGGGTTTTTTGTGAAGTAGCGACACTAGTTAGAGTTGTATATTCTATTTCATTTTATAAAATTAATAATATTTATTAATTTGATGATAAAAATATCAAATTAATGATATTTCTTATATTAATAATATAATAATAATAATATCAAATTAATAATATGTAGTGGTAGCAGGAATATTTTAAGACTTAAGAGCAGAGTTACTCTATGGAAGAATTTCTTCCTGTGAAATGGCCCACTTTGTTTAGCGTACCATGATTTCATGGAAAAGTGTTAAGTATAGGATGTTTAGGGTACCCGCTCTCCTGAAATTGCTCTCAATTGCTTTAAAAATAATTTAATATCAGTATAGTTATATTTTAACTCAGAAAAGCTGCCTTCATAAGGTAAGGAATATTTACACCTGAGTACTCAGGAGGCATTTCAGTCAGCAGGCATTTCAAGTTCCTAATGGGGCTATTTACCATGATTTCTGCATGTGGATGCTTTAGGAATTTTAGGCGTGTTTCACTGGATGGACTCATTCAGGTTGGTCTCTTTGTATGTGTTATATTTGCTTCTGAGAATTAGATTTATTATGTTTTAACTTTTTTCCCCCTAAGGGCAAAATCCTTAGTTTCCCTTAACTCAATCACCTTAGCACTGAAGAAGTGGAAATGCAGTGAAGTTGGAAATGATGGTTCTAGAAAGGCTGACTTCTGAAGAAAAAACACTTTTCTCTGAGAGCAATAGATATTTGGAGGAGCAAATAAAATGCTCAATAGTTGGAGTTCCACTTTGTATTTATTTCTCATTTTTGAACATCAAAAAGATACCTACTGCAAAATTTTTAGAGTAGTGCTAATCTGAATATTGAATTTCTAAAGGTCTTTTTTTCCTAAATAGGAATTTCTAAAGGTCTTCTTTTTCCCCTGATTTTGCTGAGAATGTTGGTGAGTGCTTTTGTGTACTATGAAGGTTTCTAAGGGGGATTTGGATGAAGGTAGGGAGCTGGGGAAGGTTGTTCAGAGGTGGGATGCAACAAATCCACTCCTGGACTACTCATCTTTATGCCAGGCACGTTTCACAGATGTGACAGACTGTCTCTCATACATGGAATAAATGGTGCTTTGGAAACAGTGACTCAGTAATTTTAGATGACACTAATAAGACAAGTCTTCACTTCCTCTTCCATCCTTGCTGTTTTGGATTATCAGAATTGAATTTCCAGAATTCAACCCCAAAATTGAATTTGTATTAACTGGTTCTGGTGTCAGTTTAGAATAACAAACCTTTCTTCTTCTCTTCCTGTTTTTATTTCAAAGAGGTTCTGCAGGATATAATTAATTCCTTCAATCATAAAATTAATGCAGTATGTGTCTTTTCTGTACAGTAAAAGTGAGTTGGAGGTGTAGAATTGTGTGCAATCCAGTAGGGACAATGTGTAGCACTCTCCTGTGTTTCTAGTTCTGCCAGACTTTGATGTGAAGTGAAAAAAGAAACCAAAAACAAACAAACCCTCTCAATTTAAAAGCAGTCAGAGAAGAGCTTTTTTCAGATGAACTTTTAAAATATCTATAACCATTCTTTTTGAATTTAGAAATGCCAGTAAGTTACTAGAGAAGTGTTGAGACTGAAAAAAATTTGTTAAAAAACCCTCTTTCATTTAAACTGTAATATGTGTCCCTTTCTAAAGGTGGTGGAAGGCTTAAGTTTGGGGTTACTCATTTTATTTTTCAACTCAGTCTCTGGAATTTGTGTAAGTTGAGAATTAAAGAAAGATCAGAGTTTGACTGTGAGGGTAACAATTGACAGAACTAGCTGCTGATATCTTGGAAAACCTTTTTCATTGCTTTCATGAATTCCCTGTAATTAACTCTGTAGGAGGAGAATTTATTCCATACCTGTTAAAATTCTTTATTGATTCCCTTAGGTGGGTGACAGGAAGGGTTGTTGGCTTATCTCATGCTCAGGTCTTGTTTTTGCCTGTCTGGTTCCCAACCAAAGGGAACAAGTGATGAGTGTGCAGTTGCCTACTTGAACAAATTCCAGGTGTTGTAATTCCTCCTTGTAAGCAAAGTGATCTGAAGTGCAAGGAAAGTTTAATCACTTAAAATGGTTAAAATTGTTGGAATTTAACAATAATTTTTAATAAAATTCCTTTCTAAGTGTCAGCTGAATGCAGATACAGTGCATTAGAGAAGTATTATCTAACAGTATTTTTCTACAATAAAAATAAGAACATTTAACCTCAGTAGATATATTGTACACTACATATTTACCTTCTTCAAGACATGATGCATCTTGCTGCTAGGCATAATCTTACTCCCCCTCCCCTCCACTCTAATCATAATAACTTGCTTTTCTTCTATTTTAGAGCAAGCATTAGAGGATCATTGCGCCAAGCAGGATTGTAATTGAATCTGTAAACTAAGTTATTTTTTCTAAGTGTTTAATATATATTTTCTTTGTGATGTTGAGTAGTTAATTTGGCAGATGTTTTTACAGGAATGGGGGTTCTTCTTATAAATACACACTTATGGGTTTCCAATTGGAACCTGCTGCATGCCAGTAAATCTTTGTGCTTGCACTCTGTCCAATTGATGTCTTTCCAGTGGAAAAATCTGACTGTAATGTGCATTGTTCACATCCTAAAATAAATCATCTGCAAAAAATTATGAAATATTCATGAGATAGGAAAGTATTGTATCTTTATAAATAAGAATTTTAATACAAATATAAATATTCCAGTCATCAAAGCTGTTTTGGATTTTCCTTGCTTTTTTTAGGTTTGATTCCTTAACACTATACATTTATATTCAATATGATTTATTTTGATATGTATTAGAATGTAAAAGTACATATCTCATGCCTGTGTTTCTTCAGGGGAAAAAAAACCACAAATGAGATCAGTCTTTATGTTTGCTTTGTATCCTAAGTTGGACTGTATTAGTTAAAACAGAAGGTATTTTTCCTAAGATCCATTTGCATAGACCTAGTAAATATGTTTAGTATATAAGGATTTTTGTGCAACATGTATGGAGTTGCTGTCAGTTGGGATTCAGAAATAAATTTAGTATTTTTTATTGGGAATTTTGTGCTTTGGACAAGATTGTTTTCTTAGAGAAAGAAAAATTTTGAGACATCATATTTTGAAGTTTTCTGTTTCTCCTGTGTGACTTCCTGAGGGGAAAAAAAAATCTTAATTGCATTATTTTGTAAACAACTAGTAACCTGAGTCTGTGTCTTTTGCTGATAAATTTTTAATCTGTGTTCTCTGTTGAAGGAACACGAATTGCTCTGAAGGCTTAAGATTGTGTGAGAAAGATGTTTCCTTTGAAGGACACTGTGATGGGTGCCTCCACCTTCTTTGCCTCAGCTCTGCCCCATGATGTCTGTGGAAGTAATGGCCTCCCTCTAACACCTAACTCCATAAAAATTCTGGGCAGATTTCAAATCCTGAAAACAATCACCCATCCCAGACTTTGCCAGTACGTTGACATTACCAGAGGTAAACATGGTGAGTATCTGTTTAACGAGCAAGTTTTTTGTATGATTACAATTTTGGGGTTGGGGTTTTTTTTGGTGACAATATATTTTAAGGTGACTGAGCAGAATACTGCCTTCATAGCACCAGCAAGTGACCAGTTTTCAGTCTCAAAATTCGTGAATTCCTTTACTGTGATAGTGGTATTGGCTCTTTTGCTTCTTCTCTGTAGACTGAAAGGAGAGATTAGTTGTCTGTCCTGTCTTTTTGTGTTACACTAACAGATAAAAGGTAAGAACTTCCTTCTTTTTATACCTCACTGAAATTCCTGAGCTCAATTGCACTGCCATGTCTTTGTGTGGAATATGGAAATAGATGTGTTTTTGATGGTGAACTCTTACACCCATGTTCTGATGTTGTGAACATTTTCATGTGATGGTTAGGTTTCTTGTGCTTGATTTGCAGCTGGTGTTGCCATCTCATGTCCTGGCTGCAAGCCTCCTGTATTATTATCTTTTGTTTTCTTTAAGATTTCTGCCACCAGGCGTTACTTTATTCTAGCACAGGTTTGAAAGGTTTCTTTCAGTACCTGTTCTCATACTTATTGTTAGCTCAAATAAAACTTCTCTTCTT